AGCAGATAAATCAATGTGTTAAACAGGAGAAATCTATTAGGTTAATGTGTATCAGGCTGTTAACTAGGAACTGACTGATTGCTGATGCTGTGACAGTGTATTTAAATGTGGGACTGTGTGTAAGCGAGTTTGCTATAAATGACACAGGTCAGTCCTTCCATTAAGGGAGGGGGGAAATCATACCTCCAGGCAGAAAAGCCTCCCAGGGCTGCAGGGGGAGCCTATTTCATGGGGCCATTCTGCAGCCTCTGCCTCTCCAAAGAAAGGGGGGGGGGGGGGCGAGGGAAGCATCATCAAGGTCTATGTTTAGAAAATTTATTACTGTAATTTTCCCCCCTAATCTCTTCCATTTTCCAGCTGCCCCTGTGACATAGATCATCATCCAAAACAGAAAAACAGGGAAAATGAATAGCAGTTTAAAATTTATCGGTCTTTGATTCTCAATTATGTGTGTTTATGGATTCATCTGTCTTCTGGAACCAGAATCTTTTTCATTACGGTAGAATATCTGACACGCTCACACACACACAAGTAGAGAATTTATTAAGTTCTATGTTAGTTTTTTGGGGAAAACCTTTCTTTTAAAGACTGCCGACATGACAGAAAACGTCACCATTGCGCCATCGGGAAATGCTCTGTCGATGGCTCTCGATCTCGTTTTAGCTAGTGTCTGGGATCTGCTCCGACACTCTGAAGGACCTTCTCTGGTCCACAGAGCAGGTGATGATGTGTAGAAGCAGGTGGGAGCCTTCAGTGCATGTGTACACACACACACACACACACACACACACAGACACACACACATGTAGGGTATACATATCCTTATGGGGACCGCTCATTCATTTCAATGGGAAAAATGCTAACGCTAACTATGACAACCTTAACCCCTGCCCTGCCCTAACCATAACCATAAGTAAGCAAACAAAATACAAGAGTTTTTGCATTTTTAATTTTTTCATAGCAGTCACCGATTTTTATAAAATAGAGTTTTCCCTTATGGGGACCAGGAAACCGGTCCCCATAAGGGAAAAAAAACGGATATTTATCAAGGATAGGTAAACCCGCTCACACACACACACACACACATTTCTATTCATATCTTTGTGGGGACACTCCGTGTATTTCTATGGGGAAAACCCTAATCCCAACATGGTGACCTTAACCCCTACCCAACCCTAACATTTACCGTAAGTAACTACAAGGGGTGGATAAAGCAGGCATGTTTCTGCTTCATGAATTAGCATGAACAATTCCGGCACTTATTATTATTCAATTTCAGTAGCTGTCATTTGTTTCACATATAACTTGCATATCTTATTTCAAGTTCAACTTTATTTATAAAGCACATTTAAAACCACCTTAGTTGACCAAAGTGCTGAACAATATGATTCGTGAGTCACATACTTACATGAAAACAAGACACAAAAAAACATCAAACATAAACACAGGGACAGTGCCCCGATAAACACAACCACAGTGCCAAGGGCAATGAACTATTTGGATCTAAGCCGGGTCAAAAAAAATGGGGTTGAAACTAACAATTTCACATTATTATGTATAGCTGAGTATTTTAGAGGAAGTCAGGTGATCTACTTGGCACAGGTGTACATCAGGAAGGTCCAGTTTTGGAGACTTACCAGCAATATCATGGCCCTCAGACTGCTTGGGTCACTCTGCTTTGTGGGTGAGCAGTTCAGTCAGAACCACCCATGTATATGTCTATGTGTAACTCCCCTACACTTACCTACATGGCAAGTCGGATTCCGCCCTGTCCCAGCATGCTTTGCTGAAGGAAAACGAACCAAAAACGTCACATACACTAATTCAATTAACTTATGGTAACTTATGCACAGAAATAGTATTCTCTGTTCAGGAGTAAACGCCGTTTTGCTTTTTTAAATCCGCTACCACGCAGGCCCACCGCCCCAACCCACTCCACCCAAACACTGCCCTCAGTTCCTCATTTTTACTCATTTAAAGTTACTTTTACCATTTCGTTATAATTCTGAAAGCTAGGGGGGGAAATCCGTAACTGGATATCAAAACAAAATCCATCTCCACTATTCTGAGCGATCGCAAATAAAAGTTAAGGTGTGAGGCTGGTCTGGGCAGCCGCAGATTTTTCATCATTCTGATCATTATATGGTGATGGATGGAGACCTATGCAGTATCTAAACTGAACCTTTAACAGGCCATGAGCAATACTATCATTTCTTTAATAGAACTTGCTGACCGCGTCTTTCCCGGGTGCCATTTGTCATTTTCCCTGTAAAATAATCAATAACGTGGATTTGGGGGAAAAAAAAGTCATATAATAACATATTACGTCTTCTTGTGCTGTTCTGAAGACAAAATAAAATAGATTTAAACCTATATTATTTAATAAAACAACAAAGAAAACCGAAGGTTTTTTCTTTAAAAATTATTTTGAATCAGAAGCATAGCATGTGTTGAAAGAATTCGTATTTGAAACGAAAATGAAACAGTTACGATGAAAACGCATGTATGGCGCTGTGTTTATTGTTCCGCCCGGTATTGAAATTGATGCGCGTGTCATTTTCTTCCTTTACTGACATCATTCTGGTCACTGAATTGTATCTGTCTACAAAGCAAAATCCAAAAGAAAATAACACAGGGTGTATTTTATATTGATCTGCTATACAAATAGCTTTGTGGTTTGTAACCGGCAGTTAGGTAAAGCCTTTTTAGCGTTTTTGAATTATCATCACGGGTTTTAATTATATAATCTCAGAAATGCGGATAAACAGCATTTAACAGGTCAAGCATACACTAAATGTGCTGATCTCATTGTCAGATAGGCTGAGTGCTTTCTTCCAAGCGTGGCTTGGTGAAGGATTAGTAATTTATCTAAGGGCTTCAGCTCTCAGTGTGTCGGAGAAACTGGTATTAAATGATTATCGTGAATTACGTCTAATTTTCACACAAACTCAAGACACACTAGAAACTTTTCTTTTTTTATTGTAATCCATATTACTGAATGATATTGCCCTGGTTAATGTGTACCTCGGTTAAAAAATATTATTTAACTGGTTATGTAGCTGTTCTTTGTTTTACGCATTTTTTAGATTTCTTTCTTTTTTTTGCCATTTTTACATCTTACCATTCCATCCTTGTTATTTCTTGTCCACCTGTTTGTATTCTGGTGCGTTAAAATGGCCAAACATACTTACTGCTCTGACAAACGATTCTCTGGACAATGACTTCTGCTAACTGCCCGTAATAATAATCATCAATGCTCTTCATTTAGTAAACACCAGATGGCGCTACTTCATTGGCGCTAACAAAACATTAAAAAGTAATTTCGGTAACAATGTAATGATTATTATTAAATGTATGATCCATTTCTGAAGGATACATCTGGAACTGATAAAATAATATAAATTCCTGTTTCATTTTTACTATTTATAATAAATAATAATAATTTCTGATGAGTAAAAGTGTGCTCATTATTCATAGAACAAGGAATCAAGATATATTACAGTACAGTATTACCACTTAAAGTTCATATTGTTCCCAAAGAAAAATCAGAAACAGGGTAGATTGATCTAAATTTGTCACATTTTACCCCTCCCGAGGAAGCACCGAAGCCCCTTTTCTTAGCTAAAGCGCGTAAACGTGTCTACTTTAGCAGGCCTTACAACCACTAGGCTATTAGGTATAATCTCTTTACGTGAGTACAGACCGGAGAATGGATAAATAGCTTTTTCACATTCTGTGTCTGATTTTCCAGAATAATTACATGGGACAGGGCAAATGTCAGATATCTTCAAAAAGATGAAATCGTATATGCATTATCTTAACATGATCTTCCATTATACATGCCGATAGGGGACGCTGTTTCCATTTATTCTCCAAGACTCGGTCTTTTTCTTTTCTGCTCCCTGTCTATTAATCACTAAATACTAAAGCTACCAATCACATCTAATACGATATTGAGCATTTCAAAATTCATTGTGGGGGCTGGATAATGGAGAGGATTTTAATAGAACACGCGTCGGGAAGGCACACGAATCGGCGACAATTGTGAGGCGGGCAGAGGTGGAGTAGCCATTAGTTATCTGACTGCTAAAAGCGCTGAATTGTTATTATGCGCGTTTTTATATATTTTTAATTTGTTTTTTAAAAACCCGGAATCAAGGCAATCGAAACCGACTCTGTAAGTCTGAGTCATTGTTTATTACTTATGATTCAGAGTTGAACTTTATGAACTTCGTAAAGTAGAGAGAACGACAGATCTAAAGTACCAGGGCTCAAAAAAAGACACAGAAACTTGTAAGGAGGAATTAGTTTTAATTAATACAGTATCTGCAAGCCTATAATCATTCAGAATACCACAGGAATCATTATTTAGGCCTATTTCTTTTTCTTTTTTTTATTCCAAAAGCAGTTATGTTTGTTTTCTCCGTATATATAGGCCTGTGTTCATGGCAACATTTATACAGACTATAGGCCTATTATAAATTTAAACTCGCAGTAGACCAGTTGGCACCTAGCAAGCTAGGAGTTTATTTTACGGAAACTGTCATAAATGTAAACATACCGTAAATAAAAAAAACATGATTAACAACATTAGCAACAAGAAGAGATCAATAATGTAATGAACAAAGATATCTTAGAAAGGCCGACTGATTTTGAATATAATTACGTCGATTTTAATGAGCTATTCGTCAAAGACAAACGTTTAAACGGATCTAAAAAAGCAGGGACCGCACGCCTTTAAATGATTGTTTCACACGTCCCCTGCCCGACGCGCTCCCCCGTCGCTGTCTATCACCGCTTCGGACGTTCGGACGCTTTCACTTTTTGCTATGGTGATTTGTTTAGCACTGGTACTTATTTTTTTGTTTGTGACGTCAAATCAGGTTTGTTTCGGCAAAAACTAGCGATTATTCCTTAACCAATTCACAAAACTTGTTTATTAATGTATAATGTATTGTGACTTATTGTGCTAGTGAAATTCTGAAAAAAGACTCCTCCCATATAAATCAATCCAAAAGCATCTCACTTCAGAGTAAACAGACGGAATCAAATTTGAGACACTTAACAAACAGTCCGGCGTTTGTCATTCGCTTGCTCCACTTGGACTGCCAAGGCAAACTGCATGGTGATTTGTAATAATACCCCGGCTCTTATTTGCTGTCTAATTGGACTATATAAGACCAATAACAGGCGAGCGCTTACACTCAAGGCAAGCAGTCAAGGGAGGGTGGACTTGCTTTCAAGCCTGTCCCCTCTATCTTCCACCGCCTCTTAATCCCATTTGCCATTGTAGGTGAACGGTAGCCCTGCACTCCTCGCGTCTAATATCGGTGACATTTTTTTTTTCGTCATTTGCATCTGGCACTACGCTGGCGCACCACACGATTTTTTACCGCGGATCTTCGTAAGACCTGGATACCGACCGATGCTACTTTTTAAAGGTTTCTGTTTACCGTCCCGGGCGTCTCATTAATTAACAGAACAATCGACGCTTAAAACGGCACTCATTAAAGGAAGCGAAGTTAAAAGCCATTTGTTTTTATTTTTTCTTAGCCACGATTTCTTTCCCTTAACTTCTGTTTTTTTGGTGTGAGCTATCCGGGCGTTTAGTCGCAATGCCAGAGACAGCGCAAGAAAACTGTGCTCCTACTAAAGACTCGCCCTTCTCCATTAAGAATCTGCTGAACTGTGACAGCAAATCCAGCAAACCCAGACCCCTGCTGGCTGCATCCAAGAGTGTTTTGGACGGCGGCTTCTCATTCTCTAAGGTCGGAGATCTGAGCTTTCCCCGTTTTGAGATACCCACGCAGAGGTTCGCGCTGCCGGCCCATTATCTGGAGCGAGCGTCCGCGTGGTGGTACCCCTACTCCCTCAGCTCTTCGGGCCATCTACACAGGACAGAAGGTGAACATTTCTCATTCGTTTTTAAACGTAGGGACACATTCATTAAATTGTGTCTGGAATACCTAATGTGCTGCATTGAGAAGTGAATTATAAATAAATTAGCCTATTGCGTTTACCAGGCTGGGTGACAAAATAAGCATTGTTATTAACAATCGCATTTTAAATAACTTTTATTATCATTATACTCAGAATAGCGATCTGTAGGCTTGCTCAAACATTTTGTAATTATTTTTGCTAAATGACACAAAAAGTTACAATTTATGCAATCATGATATAAGCGAATCCTGCAATAATCGGACACAAGAAATATTCCCGCTGCTTTACATGACAATGATTTTTGTATTATTTTCTTATTGTTTTAGTGTTGTTTTCCATGCTTATCGACAACTTTCCCGTTCCCCTTTTCTTTTCAAATCTAGTTAACGAAAAAGCGAGCGTGAGGGAATCCTCTCCAGCCTCGGGTACCGATCGGGATTCGCCGGATCTAGTGCTCAAATCCGACCCCGACTCCAAAGAAGACGACGGCAGCAAAAGCGCGGATGAAATCGTGCTGGAAGAGAGCGATCTGGAGGAACCAAAGAAAGACGACGGCACGGATGACTGGAAGAACAGGGACGACAGTCCGGATAAGAAACCATGTAGGAAAAAGAAAACGCGCACGGTCTTTTCCAGGAGTCAGGTGTTCCAGCTGGAGTCTACGTTTGACATGAAGCGCTACCTGAGCAGCTCGGAGAGGGCTGGATTAGCAGCGTCCTTACACCTCACAGAGACTCAAGTAAAGATCTGGTTCCAGAACAGAAGAAATAAATGGAAGAGGCAGCTGGCCGCAGAACTGGAGGCTGCAAATCTGAGTCACGCAGCGGCGCAGAGGATAGTGCGCGTGCCTATTTTATACCACGAGAACTCGGCCTCGGAAACGGGGAGCGCAGCGGGCAGCGTTCCAACGAGCCAGTCTCTGCTCACATTCCCCCACCCCGTGTACTACTCACACCCTATAGTTACCTCCGTACCGCTGCTTAGACCGGTGTGAGAACTACTCCTTTTACACCAACAAAGTGTAATTTTAAATTTATTTATATAATCGAATATTCGAAATATTATTTTTATATAGGCTATATAAAATGCTTACATTTTTAATAGGGGGAAACGGCGTTGACATTGCAGCTTGTATTTATTTGACGTGTGAAAAAAAAATCACTGCAGATTCAATGTTCACAAATTGTGTCATTATTTTATATATCGTTGTTACTATCATTAGACGTACTGATGTCATGGTGTACGATATCACCTACTGCCGTTGAGTATTTTATTTCGTTAAGTAGCCTAAGTGAGTGAAATTTTTACGATGCAGTTTATAGAGTTTAATAACTGTTGTACAGCCTGCAGCTATCCGAAACGTTCTTTACTAGAGTGACACCTAATCAGGAAGGCGTTTGCTGCCGCAGGATTTACATCGGTTTTCCTTTTCGGGGGAGTAGTAAAATATGTACGTTTAAATGCGTTTTTATATAAAACAAAAATACAGACTCTGTAAAATTTGTTTGGTGTTTTATGACTGCATGGATTTGTTTTGTAAAGGGAATTGTTATCGGTGGCATTCTAATATGTGTGCAATATTTGGTATGTTGAGGTCATGCACAGCACTCGACGAGCAACGGTGACCCTTCTAGCCGTTATCGTGATTCAGACTTTAAAAGTATTCTACTGTACATATTGAGACTAATCAGAAATATAGAAACAGAATGAAAGACCGATAATAAACGTATTTGTTTTTTTATTGTTATTATTAAAGCGCTTTATAACTGGAGACAATCAATTTTCTTTTCCCTTTCCCCCCACTGTATAAGCTGTATATATTTTTGGTTTGATGTACTCAATCATTTGGAATTTACTTGAATTCAGTCAGGAAATTATCTTGTATTTCATTTGTGGTTTAATACTGACACTAGGTTATCGGTATATATATATAAGCGAGACAAGGGGAAGAAGTTTTAATTGACTTACCGTTCCCTTTGTAAATGCCGCGACATTTTGATAGTGTACTGCTGAATTAAGTTGTGAAATAAACTGTTAACATTCCATACTCCGTTTATGCTTGTTAATTCTGTGGCTGACGGTTTGTCCTATGTACGGGATGTTAGGTTTTAAAGATGACAGCCACCTGTTCCTTTCACGGTGATATCTAGACACCTGAAAGATTTCCCGTCTTTTACGAAGCAGATTTACGGCACCTAGATTTAGGATATGAAATCAGAATGGAGAAGGGTCATAAACTTTCTTTAAAACTGTAATTAGAGATGGTATATGGGTCAATAACAACAACAACAGCAATAATAATAATAATAATAATAATAATAATAATAATACATATGAGAATGTTACTTGTTTCTTTGTCATTTAATCAGTCATTATGCGTGTCCTTCTTAAGACGTTTGGTAACGTAGGCCTGTAGTACCGTGCTGGTGATTTACCTATAGTAATCTCGGACTTCAAACTGCATCTGTCACGTCTTCTCAGTCCGACAACATTAAAAGTATGATGAAATCTGAATTGTTTTTAAAGCCAGCTGTTTGTCCGTAAATACCACCGGCATTTTCGATTTTGCCTTGTTATTTATTGCCATACTGTACGGAGTTATTCATCTTCAGGATGGTTTATGGCACTCAATACATTTTGTATCCATCGCGGAATATTTTTAAACCTTAATTTTCTTACGGTTACCTACATGGATTTTATAGAACTTTTCAAATCCAATCGCAATAGCTACGCATTTTTAATAATTTGCTCCTCGTTTTTTGTATTATATGGATTGACCTTATAGACTCATTTAAACAGTGTATATTACATGTATGTAAAGAGCTCCGTTCGTACTTCATTCTTTTCCGAGATGTAGGGTAAGGAGCTCGCTCAGTTAAAAAATATAAATAAGTAAACCCCAATTTATTTTCAGTTTTGTAGCCTGTATTAATTAAACACAGTATTGTGGTGTCAATTATTCGTTTTCATTAACAGCAGAATTTAAACTCTAGCTTCGACAGGGCCTGGTTCAGAATTTAGAATTACATAGACATGCAGCCTAATCGCTCTAGGTCTTCCTACCCTTGCATAAAGTTTCTGGTAAACATAAATGTTTAATATGCACACCAAGTTCCATGTATTCAAAATGCCTTTATAATCTAAAAGGCCAAGAATAGCATATCTATTAACGTTAAGTTACGATTTAATGAAGATAAAATATACAATTTTAATATATAAGGCTACAATGGCAGTTCTTTCACATTAATTTAAAATATAGATCACGAAATTCACTCAGCGTAAAACAGAGCCTTGAAAAATATTTCTAAAAATAGTTTCTAAAAATTACCCCAGTTTGACGAGGTTGATGTTGTAAAGTAACAACAAGATGTATCGTTGTTTTTAAATACTGGATCACCAGATCATTCATTTTTTTACTTTTGAGTGACCTGTTTTAAAAGAAATATGTAATACGCTTATATAGGGCAATAAACCACATTAACACATATTGCAGAAATGATTACAGAAACTATGGGTTTTACGTAGCGACCTGAATTCAGAATTAAAACACGCTAGATGTAAAACGTTTTTCACCATTGTATAATAGATAAATAAATTAGATGGTAAGTATGAGGATAATAATGATTATCACGACTGTAATAAACATTATTCATTTATATTTTCATACATTTTGATGACGTGCACGAAACCGCAATGTGTAAGAACTAACGAAATTAGGAAAGATGTAACCTACTATATAAAGTCAGAATAACAAGACTCATTCAACTAATGTCGTGATAATAATTTAATGTATTGAGATATTATACCAGGCAAGCCCAACGCGACCCCATTAAAGCGCATTAATAGATTGGTAAAACATTATGCTTCAGCTGGTATCGATCGAAAAACGGTGGGGGAACATTGTTTTCACATGAAAGCCATTGTCCAAGTTTCAGCAGCGATCGTGACCTTGATGTGTTTGAATACGTTTTAATAAGTTTTCACTCTTTTCTGTAATTCCAGTTTTTTTTCCTATCAAAATATTCGGAGAACTGAAATGAATAACATAAGCGAGAACTTGAAAGGCAAGTTCATAGTTTTAAATAGACCGCATCATTAAATTAGATTACCGGGCTCAAGTGGGCGACAGCATCAATTATTTAGTTTTAACTCAGTTACCGCCATGTCCCCAATACTGTCAAATCTCTTTCTCAGAAGCCATTCACATACGCAATCATACACTGAGAATTTTAAAAGTATAGGCCTACGTCACTACTTTTATGTAACTGTACACGGGCTACATTAATGCACAGACCTCTTTTACCAGTTAATTGGCAGTTATTGTAGGTTACCACGTACATAAAATAATAGTGTGTTTCCCACAGTGAGTAATTTCTGCATTGCAGGTATAGGTCCGTGTGCAACATTCAAATCCCTTTATTTCAAAGCTTTAAATAAGTTTGCTTGACTTTATATTAGCCTGGAACGCTGTCGATTTAAACCTAAATTATTTAGCCTACCAATTCAAATAGCTCAATGTGAGAAATTTGCGGTGTTTTCGGAAATAAAAGTTCGCAAGTGACTGAGTTAAACCATCAGATTTTCATCAAAGTTCTATTAAGTGAAACATAGGTTGTGGGGCATTCTCTGATTGAAACAGTTTAAATTTTAATTGTGTTTTTAATTTGACATACAGTTGCAGAAAAGAATGACACCGCGACACCAAAGGGCGGTCGATTTCCCGCGTCTCTCCCATAGGAATTGATGAGTCTATAAGGGCGGTGGATTGGAAACCCATTAAAGCTCAGTGGTTTAGTTGTTAATTGGAACGTGATGGATAGAAGCCCTTGGATGGGTTAGCCTGATTCAATCTGTATAGCTTTCTGTTTCCAATAAATTACCCAATTCATTTCCAACCACAGATTACATAAACTGTAAATTGTGTACCTTCAGGGTTAAAAAGGGAACCAGCCCCGCCCCCGCTCCAACCCCAACCCCCCTCTCAGCGGTGTCATTTGAACCAGAGAAAAGAGCGGACTCAAATCCTCTGAATGAAAATCGAAACATAATCAACGTTCATACTTAGAAAATTTATTGGGATCATTTTCTCTCGTAATTTCCTTATTTTTAAGTTTAGACGCCTCATACATCATAATACACAGCCGTAAAGGGTCTATGTTTAATATTTATCGAAACTTGATTTCCTGATCGAGGCTGCTCATGACTTCATCTGTCTTTCAGAGAGAAAACCGTTCTCCCGTGCTATAGGGTAAGGCTTTGCGCGCGTGTGTATGTGTACACACGCGCGCGCACACACACACACACACACACACATATTTATATATATATATGTATATATATATATATATATTTATATATACTTATATTTATAAATACTTATATTTATATATAATATTATGCATAGTAATATTTTTTTTATAAATGTGGGTTCTCAGCAAAATTGTTGGAATTTGGGACACGCCAAAAAGTGCGCCAGAGGTTTTAGGAAAAGGCTAAAGTCGCCATCTCGCCTTAAATCGGGGACATTGCGGATTAAAGACTTGACATTATGATTAAAGTTGACCATTTGTTATGTGTCTGGCTTCCGCGGATGCCGTAATAAGGTTAATGTAGTAGAACAACGAAAGCGAGCCGCACCTGCCCCCCAGACACGGTTAGGGGTGGAGCCCCCCAACACTGATCAATTAGTCGATCAATTAACTGCCTGCCAGCACGTGAGAGGAGGCATATTACCGAATTAATTATCCGATTAATTTTTAATTGGACACAGTGGAGATGCAGAAAAACAATGTCATTCATTCCCATCGTTTCTTAATTCAACTTTTCCTTTCAAAAGCAAGCTTCGTTAGCGTGGCGCTCTATAACTGGAGTTTTGGCAGATGATCAGTCTGTATATCACAATCAAAATGTTTCGAAACTATTGAACTTTTTAGTTAAAAACGGATCAGGGCAATTTACTACAAGATATAAATGCTCTTGTATTTATAAAAAAAATACTACATGGACTTACTGCATGTCTTATTTCTATGTTATAGAAGATGTAGTATTGTAGTAGGCTAGTTCAGCCACCGTGTTTCTTAGATGCCAAATAGAATTTAATTGGAATCTTCCATTTGTTATAGTAATTTTAAGGTGGCCTTGAATTACTGCAGTTTAGAAGTGAATGCTTTTTATTGATTTAGAATATTCATATGTGTAAAGTGGGTTACGCCTAACCCTCCCATTGAGTGTTTTAACGAAAATTCCGTGGGTCTATGAAAAGAAATCTCTCGCTGTCATCCGCAAATAATAAACTTTACGAGGAACAAAACCTTATACTGAAAAATGTTCATAGATTTTGTGCATATCTGTAGCAAATATTTGTGAAGCCTATTTTATAAATATGGATGTATTTTGGATGTATATGTATATTAACAAAATAATTAACAATGTTACTCTTAGAATACCCCGCCCCTGCATTGCATAAACAAATGCGGAAAACTGAAATTGTAAATATAGTTAAAAATAGTATTCTCTATTAAAACAACTCAGCTCATCAGGTAACCTGCGTCAAAATATTACAGTAGTCACGCCTTTTTTTGCCCACACTGGAAATCTCAGTCCCTCAAATTAGCCATAACCTTTCCGTTCTGCTGACGATTTGCAATCGAATAGCAAAATGAACTTGACTGGCTCCGAGAAGCAAAATGTTAAAATACGGGCTACTTTTAAGAGTATTACCCATAGTTCTGCATTCCCGTGCAAATGGAACTGCTCACTATAAATTTTAAAAATATTATTTTCCTTAAATAAATAAGACAATCCTTTCATTCTTTGTTAGGCCTTCAAATGTGACAGAAAACTTTTACAAAAACGTGTACTCGTGTCAATTTTAGTGCTACAAGGAAGTCCCAGAAGGCTATTATCAAGTAGGAAGTTGATCAAATGTGTGAAACTCTGTCACCGACATCAACTCCTGAAAACATCGGCACTGGCAAACGTACCTGGATAGCCATTTATTTAACTTTCTTTTTTGCTTTTTGAACTCGTAAAATAGCCCGCACGTCGAATCCAACAAGTAGCGCTGATAATACGAATGCTATTAAAATGAAAATATCCAAACAGCAGAATGAAAGGCCGTATATAAATATCTATCAGAGCTCATAATTGGTACCCATAAAAGTCTGTTTAATGGTATATAATGGTATATACTGTCAAATATCGTTTCGTCGATTAATAAAAACAATAGTGTAAGTGGGGAAAAAAACATATATAAATGTATTTTTTTCTTCGTATCTTAGATTTCATATCCACGTTTTTCCTTCGGACCATTTTAATTTAAATATTAAAGTCAGTATCTCTAAAAGCGAACTAAACGGTGGGTCTTTGTCACAGATGAAATGCGATTGACATAAACTCTGTGAGGCACGGCTGTGTTTGTGCAATAAAATACATATTAGGACTACAAAACACAATTAGTCAAACCGGCGCTGTTTTTTCCGTGAATGTCTCACGGTCCCTGCATCGCTCCGTACAAGAAGACAGGCGTTTTGAAATTTCCGGGGCATAGTTTACGCTTGTGATTGGCCCATGAGAAGCTTACCAACATGCAAAATGAGGCAACGCCACAACACTGCCTCTAGTCGACAGTGGATGGTAGTAGGTAGAAATACGTATAAGACTGTGCGTTCAAGAAAAAAAAAACCTCCCGACATCACTTTTTAATCTCTCCACATATACGGAACACGGGCTTATGTTATCGTTCCTTTTGTATACACATAAAGGCTTCTGATTCCCCCAGTGTTATGAATCCAGCATGAGTAGCACAGAAGACAATGGTAGCAAATGCTCACCGGCCCCAGTCTCCAGCTTCACCATTCAGTCCATTCTGGGCACCGCATCTGAAGGCGCGCGCGCAGAGAATTCCAAGGAAGGGCTGCACAGGAATCGCGCGCTGTCCGTATCGTCCGAGGAGTGCAGTGGAGGAGAAGAGCCTGTGGATTGTTACTGTGCCGAGGCCGGAGACCAGCACAATGATGCTCGACAGCAGGCTCTTAACTTTTCTTGTTTGAGTAAGTTTTGCAGTTCGTATTTTTATTATTATTATTATTATTATTATTATTAATTCACACTTTCGAACGCAAAGAGATCGTTGTAAAGTATAAGTTATTCTCTCAAAGCTATTTTATACGACCTCGTCAAATTGATTAAATCGGCTTTAAAATGAAATAATTTCCCCTGAATTGTAGTAAAATGTAGCCTGATTTAATTACGGTTTGTTAAATATTAATTGTATGCCATTGTTTATTTAATGGGGCACTCATAGCTTTTCGACAGTCGATCAAGTGGCCAAAGTTCAAACCTAATGAACTCCTCATTAAAGTATAGAATAATGTTTAAATGTAATAAATCATTTGCTTTACACTGTTACACCACACAAATCATTTTAAAGGTTTGGGCTTCTATGTTAAAAGATAGAACATACGAACGACGCAGCATTAATAAGGCTTCGGGAAACTCACCCTTGTTCTTTTTAAAGGCAATAATGTGTCGTTACATATTGATAGAGATAATAGTATATTTAACGTGAAAATTACTGTAAAATAGTAGACCGAAGAAATCTTGTAAATTATTTACTAATAATAAGTTGATGTTAGCAATATAATTTTTATACTTTTGATTTTTGGACATCACTATACCGTCACTGTCTTTTTCGTAGACGCAGCGAAAAGAATCGCATCGGTTCCAGGTGGAATAGAAAAGGGGAAGAATTTATCAAAGGGTGTATTACAGGATTACAAAGAGGAAAAGCAGAGACCATGTAGCCAGATGTCACCTGTCTCTGACGGAAGGAAAAGAGACGCCGAAGACAAATATAGTAACTCCGCCAAGAAGAAGACCCGCACGGTGTTCTCGCGGAGTCAGGTGTACCAGCTGGAGTCCACCTTCGACATGAAACGCTACCTGAGCAGCTCCGAGCGGGCCTGTCTCGCCTCTAGCCTACAGCTCACAGAGACTCAGGTTAAGACATGGTTCCAGAACCGCAGGAACAAATGGAAAAGGCAGCTCTCGGCAGAACTTGAAGCAGCCAACATGGCACACGCTTCTACACAGACTCTGGTTGGGATGCCACTTGTTTTTAGAGAAAATTCCCTACTCAGGGTTCCAGTGCCAAGGTCCATTGCTTTCCCCACACCTTTGTATTATTCCGGCAATAACTTACCCGCTTTACCGCTGTACAATCTTTATAACAAGATTGAATACTGAATTGAATACTCCATAACACAATGCATACATGTAAAACATGTCTATGTCTATTTATAAACATTTATTTGAACGAAGATGTTTTACATTTCGTATAATAACCTGCATATATGTTTAAATACGAGTATTTCTCTGATTGTAGCCTATTAAATACACCATGTGTATGTTATTTTGTACTTTTTTAATTTAGTGCTTTTCCTGTGATTAACTGATATACATGTTATCGCAAAATGTAGTGCTGTAACGGAAGGCCGCCACAATAAATGGCAAAATAATTATATTCGTTTTTTTTCTGGACATGGAGCAGAAATCCACAAATTTTGCATTTCGATTTTAGTGACTGGTAAAAATATCCGTCAAATAATTAAATAGCAGTAAGATGATGAAATATTGATATATTGTTTCTTGTTGTAATGTTAATACATAAGCAGATTTGCAGGATATTCTTGGCAAAAGAGTGAAGGAAAAGGAAAGACCCACCAGTGGTTAGAACGGTGGCATCTCAATATTACGGTAATTTCTACAAATATTGGTTCTGGATTTCTGCATGTTTCATGGTGTATTCCATTCTTCGACTGCAATATATTAAGAGTATTCAGCGACGGATGACAGGCGACTTATTCATTACAGGACACTCGCATAGTTTGTTGCGAAACGAGTAGGCTATGTAGCCCGGCAGAAAAGTGGTGTGCCTTTAGGTATATTTCTGGAGAAATTATGTAGGAAGGTGGTAAGGTTTAACATCAAAATGTAAAAATCTGATGGTTAATGCCACAAGTTCTTTTCACTTTCATCATCATGTACATCATTGTGATTTTGTATATTACGTCAGGGGTCAAAAGTAACTAATCATTTGAAATTAACTATGACTATTTTAACACTACAAATACGACTACAGTATTTACCTACTACTGAACAGGAACTAAAATTACTGGATACCTAATTTGAAGCAACGTCTAATTATGCCCCGTTTAATCGATTACACTCAAACTGAATTCAGCTCAAGATATGTTAGGCCGAATTAAGTCCCCGAAGGACCGAAATCGAACATCATTGAAAGCCCCAGCAACATTCCTCGATATCAATCAATTCTGTTTAAATTTACAATAAGCATATAATAAGCTTGAAAGATTTGTTGGAATAAAAATTCAAAAACGGATTATGACACAAAACGTAGCCTACGTTGAATCGAACATTTTCAGAACATGACATGCCAGTAGGTCTAATTATATCTGTCCTACTCTCTTCAAAAAATACCTTAATACATAAGTATATTTCTACTTATCTAAAACGCATGCGACGAAATTAGAGTAGGCTATGCTCCTCAGTGCCCAGGAGCATACATACCCTATGTATATCTGGTGTTATTGTGCGGTCATACTCCAGTTAAATATTCCTTATCTACACGGGATTCAGCTTTGTGAGTGAAGACACGGAGCACGTGACATACACAGTGGCAACGGAAGAACTCAAAGGGAACCGGAAGTGGTATCAAAGCCAATCAAAATCAAGGCGGGAGCGCCCGTATTTCGAGCCTGCCAATAACAGGCGGTGTTTCTTTCCTACACGCTCGCTAGTGAAGCCTGCACCGGAGACTCGATTGCTGTTTACTAGCTAAATTGTTTCGAGAGATATACTTTATTTTTTTCAGAATAAAAACGTGTTACAAGGTAGTAGCACTCAACGAATAGAGGTGAGTATGTATCCAACCAGTCAAAACTTTCTATGCTAACGAGGTGCTGCTAGCTACGGGTTGGAAGCGGCACGACGTGACAAAAGAAGGCCTAACATTTCCGTGCCCACTGTATGTGAAAGTGGGGTACTGGTTTTTATTTTCCAACCGAACATCAATCATTTAAATGATTGAAATGAATCTCTCAGTTATATTTTTAACGGAAATGCTATTGTTTCTGGCTACGGGTGATGGTGCTAGCTAGAGTTAGCCAATTATCATATCGGGAGAAGCAGTCAAATACAAAAAACATACAATGTACGCTACTAAAAAAAAAAACAGCTTCACAAGAACTTTGGCAGCAAAATGTTGCGATTGTCGGTGTTTATCGGGTGCATGGTCTCGGCAACAATTTTTGTAAGGATGTATTGCATGTCATAGGATTAATATACAGCTACTTTATCGTTATTGTATGACTGGCGCCTACAATAAGACGCATTCATTATCTATTATGGGGTGGATCCACACATGAATCGGTACCTGTTTCTGCCTACAGATGACTGGGTCGAATGAGTTCAAGCTGAACCAAGGTCCAGAAGATAGTATCTCGGCGGTGAAGTTCAGTCCTAGCACAGCCCAGTTCTTACTGGTGTCCTCCTGGGACTCCACTGTCCGCCTTTACGATGTCGGCGGGAACTCCATGAGAATAAAGTACCAACATCTAGCCCCCGTGCTGGATTGTGCTTTTTATGTAAGTGAAATGGATGAACCCTTATGCAGTTCTTTTAAAATCACACTGTGACTCCTGATTTCTGAGGGTTTGAATTGCACTCTGATTATGTCCTGTTCCAGGATCCCACACATTCTTGGAGTGGGGGTCTGGACATGCAGCTGAAAACCCATGATTTAAATACAGACCAAGGTATGCTTGCCACTGCTGAGCAGTAGCCAACGTGTGACAGTACTGGGAACAGCACACATGTACAGTATAATAATGCAGTTACTACTTATTCTATGTTTTTAACTACCAGATAGGCTTATAATTAGTTACCGTAGTAACGTGCCGTTGCATATGTTGCACACGGCTGGTTGTGTTTGGATATGTAGTATAACGGGGACATGCAACCCTTCCCTTGCTCTCAACAGATACAGTTGTGGGAACACATGATGCACCCATCCGTTGTGTTGAGTACTGTCCTGAAGTCAACGTCATGGTAACGGGTAGCTGGGACCGGTCTGTAAGGCTGTGGGATCCACGCACCCCCTGCAATGCCGGTACCTTCACCCAGCCCGAGAAGGTGGGCCTGCGGTTTGTGAAAATGATGATTTACATGAACAAAAATGAGTACAGGCTTTTCTAGAGTGAATAAACTGTCACGATTATAGTCCATGTTTATTACTGTAAAATTATTAAATGAACAGTCATCCTGTTGTACTATATGACAGTTTTTACTGTGGGTCTGCTGCATAAAAGGCTTTCTGGCACTAATAATGAGCCCTCCTGAATCAGTCTATTGGATGGATATTTGCAGAGTTTTGTTGCGGCTTTTTATATTGGTCATTTGCCTGTCAGCAGTGAAGCTGTGAAACGGCACCTTTGTAAGTAACTGCTGTGGATAAAATAGTTTCATGAAAGGGCTTTTAAGCCTATCCGTACTTACAGGAAAAATACAGACGAGCTCCAGGCTTTAATGGCTGTGTTACTTGTTGCTATGTTGCAGGAAAGGCTGCCTGGCTTCACACATTACTCGTGACCCAATTTCCGTAACGGCCCGGTGTTCAGGATAAATGGATCGCATTAGATAACGGCTGTGATTTATAGGTAACCTTAAAAACCGGCGAGGTGCGTGGGGCGAACCCGACAGATCGGCGAGGGAATTAAGCTGTTTATGAGTTCCGCAGGGCGCGTGAGTCTCGTCAGTCTCAGTAATTCTTCTGAGCGCATGTTTGTACCCGGCTTTTCGCGAGTCTTATTTGATCTGTCGGGTCAGATGCCTGTGCATGAAGAGTAGGGGGGAAAGCGTTCAGGATGTAGAGTCCGAGGTGGCGGGAAATATTTGCGAAGTGCCGGACCGGGTTTTGTTTTTAACTGCAGTTGGAATCCCGTGAAGATTTGGAGCTGAGAGAGACGCCATTGGTGTCTGTCACCGTGAATACATGAGGATGGGCGGGGCACTTACTCGCCACACCCTAAATTCTGAAAACAAAGACCAAAAATCTGTTGTGCTCTGAAATGGGTCAAATTGCTGGTGGTGTGATAGGCACCACATACAAAGAAGTTGACTACAAAGTTTTCTGAGTGAGATGAGCGAGGGATTGAAGCTCTTGTCTGAAGAAACCCCGCCTCCACCTCCCTTCTGTAGGTATACACGCTGTCCGTCGCAGGGGACAGGCTGATTGTGGGAACGGCTGGCAGGAGAGTCTTGGTCTGGGACCTGAGGAACATGGGCTATGTGCAGCAGAGAAGAGAGTCCAGCTTAAAGTACCAGACCCGCTGCATCCGGGCCTTCCCTAACAAGCAGGTGAGCCCGCATATTTAGTAAGGGCATCGTTTCCCAATCCAGTCCCTGTTGCAGTCTATGTGGACTGTCAAGCTGGGAGGGAGCAAAAACGTGGACCATCTGTGGGTCCCCTAGGACCCGGTTGGGAAACACTGGGTTAGGGGGCGGGGCTAAATTGTATGCTGGACCAACAATAAGTGATTGTTTCTGTGCTTATGTGAGCCGGGTGGAGTGTTAGCCTCTGCGTGACTCTATTTTCAGGGCTATGTGCTGAGCTCGATCGAAGGCCGGGTTGCCGTGGAATACTTGGACCCTAGTCTGGAAGTCCAGAAGAAGAAGTATGCTTTCAAATGCCACCGACTGAAGGAGAACGGCATTGAGCAAGTCTATCCTGTCAATGCCATCTCTTTCCACAGTGTTCACAACACCTTTGCCACCGGTAGGTCTGCCTCTTAATGTGACGTCCAGTGACCTTCTTCGAAAGTGCCCAGTCCATTTGTAGTTGCCTCATTCAGTCCACTGATCAGCTTGATTAGTTTTTAGTGTCCCTCAGTGCTTTTGGAACCCTGTGGTTGGAAGCTAAGATATTATTGGAAATGAGACCTGATCATAAATATTTCTGCTGGAATTGTAGTACTTGTAGTACCAGCCCAGAGGTAAGCAACCCAGTCCTGAAGTGCTGGTATCCAGCAGGTTTTCCATCCTGCCTGATGAGTTACTATCTGCCTGATATCAGGTGTGGTTCATCTGAGACCAGGTAGGATGGAAAACCTGCTGGATACCAGCATTCCAGGATCAGGGTTGCCTGTCCCGGGTGGTTTCTCTTGATCTGTTCTTGCCTCACCCTGGTGTGTGAGTGAAGCTGCCCATTTTCATGCAGCTTGTGATATTCAGATGTTTTGGTTTTATATTGACTCTCAGGGGGCTCAGACGGCTTCGTGAACATCTGGGACCCGTTCAACAAGAAGCGTCTGTGCCAGTTCCACCGCTACCCCACCAGCATTGCGTCGCTGGCCTTCAGCAACGACGGCTCCACGCTGGCCATCGCCTCCTCTTACATGCAGGAGCAGGGTGACATCAACCACCCCGAGGACGCCATCTTTATCCGCCAGGTCACGGACGCTGAGACTAAGCCCAAGTGAGTCCCTTCCCCTGCTCCCTCCCTCCCTGCCCTCGTTTGTCAGCTAATTAATTTCTATAATTCCGTCAATGGGATTATTGATGGCAACACGCACAGCTGCAGCCCCTGGACAGTCTTTATCTCTCCTTCCCGAGGCTTTCAATATCCGGCAGTTGATAGACGTCTGACAAATGAAATAAAACGAGAAGGGAAAAAGGCTGTATTGTCTCTTTTTCTCCTTTAAATCCCCGCCCCCATCCCACACGAGATGTCAAATGCTGCGTTTTTGCACTGGTTTAGGGATGAGGGTACTTCATGTCTAGTACAAATGTATATCGGAGCTTTTTAGTTGGGTCCCGTTGCGGACGAAGGCCAATTAGAATGGCTGAGCTGCATTAATGTCTCTCCCTGAAGTGGCAGCCCGGTTCCTGCATTGTGAAACACGGATACGCGAGCGACATTAATCAATATTTCCTCCATTTTCCTGAGGGGATTGGGTTGGCATAGGTGCACTTTCAGATGAAGATGGTGTTTTGTAATTACTTTTTTTTTCTTTTCTCTCAGCCCCAGGAACTTATGAAAAAACACACTAATTAGTAGAGGCGACCTCTGATTTTCATGATGGTAGAACTTGGTGTTTATGCAAACCTCTGGTGACCGAGTTACCTGAAAAAGGTCTTTCTTGGATGCTACCGGGCATGCCTGGCTTTCACGGAAGGGCGAGGATGGGAGGGGAGGGGGGCACGATTAGATTTGCGAGCAGCAGTGCAAATCCCAGCAGTCAATACTGCCATGGTTAGCATAGTCCAGAAATTCCGCTTAGAGAGCCGGTGATGGCAGCGAGCAGGCAACTGCGATGAGAAGCAGAGCCGTGACCTCGCAGGTCTGAAGGCAAGCGCAACGTACAGAAATGCAGGCGGCTGCCAGCTCGTATGGTCTTTATGCGACTCGTCAAAAGCATATTTATAGAAATTCGACAAAGTCTACATAGTTGTTCCTGTTTTGTAGGGATTTAAATATGCACTTCCTAGTCAGTTGGAAGGAAAGGTACCGCTCAGCGATTCTTATTATTAATGTCCAGGACACCAAATACTGTTTAA